TCATTATTTTTTCTTCTTTATTCATAGTACTCTTTCTAGCAATAAACAGAACTAAGTCCTACAAAAGTATTTATTAGCAAAATAAATTAAAACAAAAATTTTTAGAGAATGAATATTTAAATGAACTACATACATCCAAAAATAGCACCTCTCAATGATGAGATTAACTTTTCTTTAATATACTTTAAAACTTGGGATATAAACTCACATTTCACCCACAATATGGGAGGGAGAGTAAATAATCTGATTCTTGTTCCCATTCATACCTTATAAATTGTTATAATTTTCAGTTCATCATTGGTCTGATTTGGTAAATCACAAAGATTTGTGATTCAAAAAAAAAAAAAACGTTTTGTGAGTACTACAACATTTCGGCATGAAGTAGCTAAGACTCATTTTTGATTAAACAAAGTCTCTGATTGCCTTGTGTTATCTTTCTTTCTTTATTTTTGAGAGAGAGAAAGTGTCTGCATGGTGGGGGCTGGGGGGCCCACAGGGAGAGAGCATCTTAAGCAGGCTCCACACCAAGTGCAGAGCTCCACACAGGTGATCTCATAACCCTGAGATCGTGACCTGAGCTGAGATCATGACCTGAGCCGAGATCAAGAGTTGACGCTTGGGGCGCCTGGGTGGCTCAGTTGGTTAAGCGACTGCCTTCGGCTCAGGTCATGATCCTGGAGTCCCGGGATCAAGTCCCACATCGGGCTCCCTGCTCAGCAGGGAGTCTGCTTCTACCTCTGACCCTCTTCCTTCTCGTGCTCTCTATCTCTCATTCTCTCTCTCTCAAATAAATAAATAAAAATCTTTAAAAAAAAAAAAGAGTTGACGCTTAACCAACAGAGCCACCCAGGTGCCCTGCCTTGTGTTATCTTTAAAGGATAGATATCATCTTTTTTTAAAAGATTTTATTTATTTATTTGATACAGAGAGAGAGGAAGACTGAGAGGGACAAGCAGACTCCCTGTTGAGTGGAGAACCCCACACCAGGCTCGATCCCAGGACCCTGAGATCATGACCCGAGCCGAAGGTAGACAATTAACCAACTGAGCCACCCAGGCACCCAGGATAGATATCATCTGGCAGTGAAAATTATTGAGGCAGGGACAAGACTCCTCAACCCTGGTGGGAAGATAGTCAAGAAGTCTATCACCTGTGGTACCATCTCCTCATGCTGCATTATATACATGCTCATGTGTTTCCTAAAATTTGGGACATTGTCAACTGATTTATGAAAACTGTTTTGGCATCCTGGATAAGACAAGCTAAAACCTATTCTAATTAGAAATATAACAGAAGAGTCAAGACTCTTGTGTGTTCCCATAAACTCATAAAAAGGACAATTAATGAAACAAGGTATATGCACTTAACCTTTGGTAGATAATGCTAATTAAGAGGTTATTCCCATTTACACCCAGTAGGGGACAGGGAATGGGAAGGGTCAGACACAGGGACAAGAAGACCAAGAACCTCAAAGAATAGTAGACCCTCCAATTTAAAGTTCTGAATAAAATATTGGAAATACAGGAAAGATTCCCTATTTAGAAAGGAGACCTCATTGGAGTGCCTGGGTGGCTCAGTCAGTTAAGCATCCAACTCTTGATTTTGGCTCAGGTCATGAGCTCAGGGTCCTGAGATCAAGTCCTACGTTGGGCTCCGCACTCAACGTGGAGTCGGCTTCTCTCCTTCTCCCTCTGCCCCTCTCCACCCACCTCTCTAAAATCAATCAATCAATCTTAAAAAAAAAAAGGAGACCTCATCAAGGTAAAACTTAGAATATATAAGAAAACTACAATGTCGTTAAATGGAAATGGGACAGCAACAGAGAAAGATGAGTTGGTCCGAGGATCACGATGTGATGCCAGATTCAAAGGAGAGCCAGTTCTTGGGAGAGGGCACAGTGTCTCCTTCAGCATCCTCTCCCAACCCAGTGGTGAACAGTGACCAGGAGACTTGCACAACCATGACACAGCCCCATCACTGGTGATCAGAGATGTACCCATGGTAAGGTACACACTGGAAAGTAGAGGAAAGGTACACTAAGCAAGGGTCATGGAGAGAAGAGGCAGTACAGGGAGAAATAACAAATTCCCCAGAATGACAGAAGTTAGCATCAATCCACTCAGGAGGAAGTAACAAGAAATTATTTGAAGAATGTAAAACACCAAGTTATTTTCTATTTTATAACACTGAAGTCAATACCATTAACCAGGAATTACTACACAGAGATATGAAAGATACAGAGTATCTTGTTTACATGTATAGAAAAGTGAGAGTTTCAAAGAAGTTTGTTTCTTTCCAAAACAATTTATAGTGGTCACTGACTTATGCTCTCTAAAGAAATAAAAATTAGGGATCGTGCAGGATTGTTTTCTTTATTATTCTCTGCCATATTTTCTACAGATTTAAAATATCCTTCCTTCTCTCTCCCACCCAGGCTGGGCCAAGGTCTAGACCACCACCATTTGAGGTTTATTCCTTTAAATTCAGCACCATCTTCGTTGTCCTCCCGTCTCTGTCTTCTAACTATGTGCCTCTAAGAAATAGGTATTAAGTCCGTAAGCATGAGCCCCTAGATAGAGGCTTTCAAACTTTTGACCACAAGCCACAGTGAAGAAATATATTTACCTCTAGAGCCCGTACACACCAAAAAAACATACCTATAAAACCTACACAGAAACTCCTTACAACTTGTACCCTTACTACATATGATAAACTGACCTTCTCCATTCTACTCTACCTTTTTTTTTTTAATGCTGCTAACCCAACTGTTAGGTCATAGCTCACAGTTTGACATACTTAGAGATAAGATACATGGACACATCAAAATAACAACGTAAGAAAGTAGGTAAGAGTTCTGCATTCAGGCTGTCTGAATTCAAACACCAGCCCTACCACTTGAAGCTGTCAACTTCTCTGCCTCAGTTTCCTTGTCATGGGAATAAAAGAACAGTGTCTATCTCAAAACTAAGGATTAACCAAGACCATCCACATAAAGCAGTTAAAGCACAAAAAGTATTCAGTTAATGGCTAGTAATAATTCTTAATGGCCTGTGGATTTTATTGTGGTAAAATATACATAAAATTCATCATTTAAAAAAATTCATTGTAACTATTTTGAGGTGTACAATTCTGTGGCATTGAATACAATCACAATGTTGTGCAACCACCACCACCACCACTCTCTAGTTCCAGAACCTTTTCATTACCCCAAAAGGAAACCCATTAAGCAGCCGCTCCCCATTCTATCCTCTTTCCCAGGCTCTGGCAACCCCTAATCTGCTCTCTATATGTAGGTCCATGGACTTTTGAAGTAATAGATTAACACTTGTAAAACCATTTTCTAGGGTAGACTGAAGTGTTCTTTGGATTCATTAGCCCTATGGCTCACAAGACAAACTTCTGCTCACCATTTGTTTAAATAAACCTTGTGACTCACTTTAGGTAATTTTGTGACCTGTCTGGGAGTCAGAAATGCCCCTCTCCTGTGAATTTGGCAAGATTCCCAAAGTCTGACCAATGTTATGAAGAAGACTGCTTTCAGTGTCCTCAAAAGGCAGAATGAGTAAGGCCCTAAAAGAGGTTTCTTCATTACATCGTGGAATGTCACCAAGTGATAGAATATTCACCAAATGAAGACTACTTACTCTTCAGTCTTTGCATTTTGAAATTCGGCTTTTCAGCCTCCGAACTTTTACCATCAAGAGGTAAAAAAGTGAACTTGGACAAAGAACTAGAACTTTCTTGGCTTTAGTATGTAGTATCATTTCCTTTTGGGGCCCCACCCCTCTCACAATGATTTCCCACCCTTCCTTTGTGGTGTGGAAGACTGGGCAAAAATAACTTTTTTCTTCCCAGGATCTATAAGGGGAGTCGCCGAATACTCCATCAAGAAAGTAACAGGGACAAAGAAGTTACCTTGCAAAGCAACACTGTTCTTCCTCAAGAAACGGTGAAGTCAGAGGTTTCTTAGGCCAAATAACTAAATGTCACCAAGAGGCACCAAAGATTTAAGCTGGAAAACAACGTCCTTGGTCCCAGTTGCAGAAGTCAGACGCTTTCTCTTTTTTGTAAAGAACGGCACCATTCACCCAGCAAATACGCAGCGAAGTCTTCATTTTCCATTCTCCCTCCCCCATCCCCTACAGCTTTCCAGTCTTCTGGGGGAAAGCCTGACCCGCCTCAGGCACGGATAGCACTGGGCAAACCCGGCTTGGAGGTACTCGGATTCGGGGTCCCAGAGCCCAGCGAACTTCCCCGACTCGCGGCGAGTCACTTTACTGCTTTTGAGCTTTTAGAATGGGGGCGGGGGCTTCAAACAGCAAACCAGCCAGAGAAATCTCACGCCTCAAACTCTCGGCAAGTCCATGCCCTGAGCTGTGCCAAATCCTGGGAAAGTCCCGAGATGGAGTTAAGTGGACAAAAGAGAATTACAACTTTCCAAAGACCCGGGTGCCCTGGCAAGTCAGTGGGCGTGCGGGTCTCCGAGTTTGCCACAAAGAATCACCCCGGCGCTCCAAGCAGACGAAGCCAAAGCTTCACCCCAGACCTACCAAAAAATTAGAACTCAAGAAGAACGACCTAGGAAGCCCTCCCTTCCACAAGCGCCAGGTGATCCTAATCCTGGCAAGTCTGGGTTCGGCACGTGCTTCAAGCATCCGGCCCTGGGAACTCAGGCGACAGGGGCTCCAGCCTCCCACCCGCCAGTTAACTCGGTGACCGCGGACCCGCAACCCGAGGCTCAAGGAGAGGGCTGCGCGCAGGACCCGGAGGACCCCGCAGGGAGCGGCTGAGCCAGACCTCGGGCGCAAGGCCCTCGCCTGGGCGGGACAGCGGGTCCAGGGCCAAAGGCAGGGTTCGGAAGGTGACAGCACTCTGTCCTCTGCCAAGAGTGAGGCAACTCCGGAAACTTCCCGGAGCCGGCGCTCGCCTCCCGCGGCCACCTATTCCGTGTCCCGCAAGCTGGAGCAGCCCGCGCCCACGCGGCCGGCAGGCGCACTGACCTGAGATGGTCTCCTGGTAGCCCTTGGTGAAGAACTGCATGGCTGTGGCCGCCCTCCACGGCGTCTTGAGCAGTCCCTGCCGCTGGGGGTCCTCGCCTAGCGAGCGCAGGATAGATGAGTAGGCGGCCGCCAGGTTGGGGAGGTTCAGCTCATTATCCTCCTCGCTGCGGGGCCGTTCGCCCTTCCAGCCGTCCGCCGGCTGGACGCTCTTGGTCTCCGGCCGCGGAAGCTTCTCCGCCGGCCCGCTCGGCCCGGGTCGCGACGGCTCCCCCTCGGGGAACCCATTACTGCACCTGGCGCCCCGCGGCTTCGCCGGCGCCCGCACCAGACCTTTCTCCATGGACCCGCCTCTGCCGCTCCGGAGGGACTCTGGGACGCTTCGGGGACTGCAAGTAAATTGCGCCGGCGGCCGCAGGCAATAGGCTGTGGCCAGGATCACCTGAGGAAAGTAGGCGACCGGCCAGTGACACACTCCCAGCCAGAGACAGTGGAAGGCTAGAGCGCTCCGCAGTGCCTCGTTTTTATCTGCCGGCGGCTCGGCCGGCGCCGCGGGGCGTTCCCATTGGCAGGAGCCTCCGCGCGTCATGGCGCTCGCCCCGCCCCTTGGCCATTACTCCGCGGGGCTCCTGAGAGGGGGCGGCCCCGAGGGAGGGGCGCGAGGCCGGGGATCGACCCCGCGAGCCCCGGAAAGGCCGCCCCCGGGGGCGGTGAAGCTGACCCTCTGGGGACTCCTCCGGCGCCAGCCGGGAGGAGGGGGTTGGACCACTTGGGTTGTTGCAGTGTGAACCGAATCCAAAAGGAGGCAGGCATCGGGTGCTGGAACCTTGTCGTGGGGATGCGTGCCGGGGGCGCACGGTCAGCCCTCTCCTCTTAGGCGAAGAAAACGCTGCCTCTGAAGTGCTCTGGTCCCCTCGCTCTGTGAAAGATGACCAAACAGGTGGCCTCGAGGGGAAAAGACTGTGGGTAAGGAGACCAGCTCTTAATGTTTGTAGGGCAAGAGAATAATATGACACGAAACTCTTGGCGTTGGTTACTTAAAAATCGTCCGACGCTCCTGCCACCAACGAGAACCCTCTCGCCGCTCTGAGGGAGAGTGTTACACGAAGTTACACTCGCGTGAGTCTCTGTATCTAGGTGGATGGTATTTGTGAGGGTCAGAACTTTGACCCTGGAGAAAAATTGATTTACAAGAGAAGAAAAGTTAGGACTTTCATTAAAAACCCATTTGCGCTCTGTGGAAATTTGGTACTGATCATTTTAGAGTGACGTGCTAAATAAGCTCCTTTCCCCTGGTGTTGGTACAAATTGTGAAACGTTATTGATCAGCTGGACTCGGAACCAGTGACATCTGCTTTGACTGTTTTCTTTAAGATCAAAAAATGGGCTTTTTAAAAAAATGGGCTTTTTTCCTCACTTGAGGAATTATTTCATAATGCCAACGGTAAGTTTTAAAATACGTATCAAATTAATATATGATTTGCTTCAGAGAGTTTTTTTTTTTTTTTAAGATTTTATTTATTTGACAGAGACACAGAGAGAGAGAGGGAACACAAGCAGGGGGAGTGGGAGAGGGAGAAGCAGGCTTGCTTCCCGCATAGCAGGGAGCCCAATGTGGGACTCAATCCCAGGACCCTGGGACCAGGACCCGAGCCTAAGGCAGACGCTTAACGACTGAGCCACCCAGGTGCCCCTGCTTCAGAGAGTTTCTAATGCTGGCTTTCTGACACATATACAGCTTTTAAAAAGTTTCGGATCAGACAAACCAGGAGAGAAGCCCCTGAAACTATTCTATACTAATACAGTAGCTCAGTCATTACAATTATTAGTTAGTATTTATTGGATATCTGCTCCAGGCATAGCCCTGCTCTAAATATCAAGGAAAGAAATATGGAAATTCCTTGGCCTCCTCAGCACCTTTAGTCTAAAATAGAAGAAGTATTCATGCCAATGTGGTTTTTAAAGATAATTATTGAATTTCTATACGCATGAAATACCAAACTACATAAATCGAGAAATATGACCATCCCTTGGGTTCTTTGTCAGTCTGCTAACATTTTTGTAAGGTTTTTCCCCCTTCAGCAAGGTCCTGTAACATTTTTTCCCTGTAACTGCACTGCCCACTGTCCACTGATATTTTCTGGTCAGAGTTATCCACTGGGTCTCAAAATGTGTCAGCATAGATGCAGACAACATTAAAGAATGGCCTTGTATTTAGCAAATGAAAACAAAGATACCAAGTGAGGTACTTTTAAAAATGGAAGGATTCAATGGGGACATTTTCAATAAGATGTTTTTTTAGTGGCAACCTTGTGCCTTCCTTTAAAAGCATTTGTAAACATTAACTAATATCGTATTCTCCAAAGACAATTTCTACTTAAATTTTTACCCTAAAAATTAAATTTTCTTATAAACACTGCCACTGAGGCATCAGCATTTTTGTTACCAAATAGTACAAAGTCTCTGTATTTGTTCTATAAAATACTTACTTGTTAAATGGAGGCAGTACCTTTCAGCCAAATGCCCAAAGGAAATACAAGGAAGCTTTACAATCACTATTATATAAACAGTTTAACGGCGAAATGTAGGTTGTTGGCAGGGGTGGTTATAAGTAGAAATGAGGGAAGAAGGAGGAATAAACAAAATAGGAGGGACATACTCCACAGAATTTATTAGCACAAAATATTTCAACAGTAAAACTATGAGCATTCACAGCTAGAAATTGTAATGACATCTATCTATGTTTCTAACCCAGTAAGGGACCCATTTTCACTTTGGACCCAATCTGGGAGTGGCTTTCTATCAAAAAGTCAAGGATTTTTCTTTAATGCTCCCATTTTTAGGACAGTAGCAGAACGGAGAAGCAGATGAGTGAGATACAGTATCAGAGATTGAATACTGCAGTGCTATAGAAATATATAGTCACTTACCAAGGGTAACAGATAAACTAACCTTAGGCATTTGGCAATGGTAACTGGAAAAGAAAGAAGTAAATTTCTTTAAATGCACTTGATGAAGATTTTATATTTGAGATTCAAACTTTAGAGGATATTCTTGACTAAGGTGGAAAGATACACAAGAAAAGTGTCCTTATTCCACTCCTAACTTCCAGAAGAAGAACTGTGAAGTCAATGCAATCCTGAGATGTCTCACTAAATCCCCCCAAATGTCAGGAGAAGCAAACTAAATTGAGCCCTTACCTTTCTCTTCCTCTGACTGAGGAGGAATGGAACAACTTTTGGAGAGAAAAATGGAACATTGAGCTGACTCTCTGAGATGGAAAGGAATGATCAAGGGCTCTATACTGAGTTAAGGAAGGTGTCCACAGCCCAAAGTTACCTCACAAGAGAAGGGTAGATATACCCCAAATATCACATGTCCCTGGCAGAGGATCTTAAATAACACCTCAAAAGAACTAGCATGTGCTAAAAAGAGGGATACTAATGAAGAGTGCATTCTACCACAGATGAACACTGTCCCAACCTTCACAGTCCCTTATAGAAGAAAGGATATATCACAGTCACCTCAAGTCCCAAACTGTAGCAGAGTCAGGAAAACAAATGAGGTTCCACAGTAATGGGAACACAAAGAAGTCATCCTCAGTAATATCAGGCATGGATGGAACAGCGAAACCGCACGGCAACCATTGCAAACATACAATAGCCAAACAAAGCTAAACTAAACAAAGGTGGAAATAATATACCATATTGAAGACACAAAGACAAAGAATGCAGCTGAGTAGGAAATAAAGCTCATGGAACAGAAGAAAATTCCTCAAAAATTTTTTATGCTACAAAACAATAAAAACATGAGTTCAATATGATAAAAAAAAAACCAAGATAATAGAATAATAAAATTGAAAAAGGAGTTACAGATCTAAGGAAATGAATTGAGGACCATCATTATTATGGAATTTGTTAAAAAGAATCAGGTATAAAATAGACACTGCAGAAAATATAATTACTGACATGAAGAAAGGCAGGTGAATGAATGCAGAAAAGAGAGAAAGATGAAAGCTTTTAGAGAAGACAAAGATGATCCAGCATAAGAATAATTAGGGTTCTGAAGATAGAGAATTCAGCAAATGGGAGAGAATGTAGTCAAACATTTAATACAAGCATATTTCTGTACCAGAAAGAAACCCTTATATTAATATATAATTGATTTTCAACAAGAGTGCCAAGACAATTAAATGGGGTAAGAAGTCTTTTCAACAAATGGTACTAGGGCAAGTGGACATCCTCTTGCATGTAGCAAAAAAAGGACTTGGGGTGGGGGGTCGGTGAAATAGGTGAAGGGGATTAAGAGGTATAAACTTCCAGTTATAAAATAAATAAATCAGGAGGACAAAAAGTATAGCCTAGGGAATGTGGTCGGTAATATTATAATAGCATATGGTGACAAATGTGACTACATTTATTATGGTGAGCTCTGTATAATGAATAGAATTGTCAATTCACTATGTTATACACCTGCAACTAATATAACATCGTGGATCACTCACATCATATACAAAAATTAACTCAAAATAGATCAAAGATCTAAATGTAAAAGCAAAAGTTATAAAACTCTTAGAAGAAAATATAGGCATCTTCATGTCCTTGGATCAGCCCATTAGATTTCTTAAAAAAGACACCCAAAGTGGAAGTAACAAAGGGAAAAAGAAAAGATAAATTAGACTTCACCAAAATTTAAAACTTTTGTGCTTCAAAGGACACTATCCAAAAAAAGGGAAAATAAAACCCACAGAATGGAAGAAAATATTTACAAATCATGCATTTGATAAGGAACTAGTATCTAGAATATATAAAGAACTCTAACAACTCAATAAAAAGACCAAGAACCGATGGGCAATAATTCAATGGACAAAGGATTTGAATGGACATTTTTCCAAAGTATACACCTAGTCAAGAAACACATGAAAAGATGCTCAACACTATTAGCCTTCACGGAAATGCAAATTAGGGTATGAGTGAATACTACCTCACAACCCCTAGGATAGCTGTATTCAAAAAGATGATAACAAGTGTTTCTGAGAACATGAAGAAATAGGAATTCTCATACACTGCTAGTGGGACTATGAAGTAGTGCAGCTGCATTAGAAAATGGTCTGGCAATTCCTCAAAAAGTTAAACATAGAATTCCTATATGACCCAGCAATTCCACAGCAAGTAGAAACCTAGGAGTAACAAAAACATGCCTACACAAAACTTGTAAATGAATGTTCATAGCATGATTATTCACAATAGCCAAAAAGTGGAAACAACCCAAATGTCCATCAACTGATGAATAGATAAACTAAGTGTGATACTAAGTGTGATATACATGTACACTGGAATATTATTCAGCCAGAAAAATGAAGTACTGATATATCCAATAGCATGGATGAACCTTGAAAACATTATACTAGAGGCGCCTGGGTGGCTCAGATGGTTAAGCATCTGCCTTCTGTTC